GTTTATATTTAGTATAAATGGTATAGTTCAATTTATTCATGTATCAAATAGATATAATCAATATAGGACAACTTGTAGTTGTTGACTAGTTTTGAATAATTTTCTAATAAATAATATAATGATAAAAAATAAATAAAAACTTATGTAAATCTATGAATGAATTCTGTGCTCATCATCATATTGTTTGTTGGAAGGAAACAAAATTGAATATTATTATATCGAATATATTATTTGATCATGTGAAACAACATAGTTGATACTTTATTCTTTATCCCAATTTCATACAAAATAAAAGAAGAGTATCGACATTTATTGATTCTAAGTTCTAGCAAACTTTACACTGTGTTTATGCATTCTTCGGCTTTTTCAATATATATGATGAATGTTTTTTTTTTTTTGAAAAGTATTCATATTATATGATGTAATTATCAATGATGTATTTGAAGCCCATATTTTATTGCCCTTCGACTAAAATATTCTGAAAAAAACTCGTCATTTTAGATTTAATATCAGTAGTTATTGATTCATTTGGTTATATTACACCGGAAGAAGTTGAAGTTTTTGGTCACATGAAGACTATATAAGAAAGCATAATCCTTTCATTAATTCTGATACATGAGCAATAAAGCTCACTTCAATGTACGGTTCATGTTCTCTGTATCTTGTGATTTTGTAAACTGTATTGGCCTCTTTATGTCAGAAGTCTACTAGGTCTACTATTACTTGTAATGGTTTTTAAGAGTTAGTCTCAATTGATTTATTTTTAGATAGATAATTTTAGATGAAGCAGACCTCACGATTACTTCTCTTTCTACATTTCTAGTAGAACTTTCTAATTAGTTTTATGCAATATTTAGAGCTATCCATGTTTTGCACTCTTTTAGTCGATACATGAATAGAGTTCTATTATTGATATGATGGGTGTTTACTTCTTCTATTACATGGTGGGCAGCACAGTAATAGGTAATTTTAGAATTGAAGATTTATTACACTGCTACATATGTTGATTCGTGAATTGATCCAACCAAGTTTAGGGATTATCAATTGCAGTGCAGATCTGGAAATTGAGATAGAGTTCGACTGAAATTAGAAGTTAGCATACTCCTTTTTATAATGTCTGCATCTTCCTTCAAGCAGATAATTCCTATGGCAGCATTGATTATGCAAATTCAGAAACTACTGCTTTCACCAATCGAAAAGAAAGAAAAAACATTTGTTTTTATAAAACCCAAGTTCTAATAAGTATTGTCGCTTCTCTTTGAAGTTTGTGAAGGGAGTCAACCACTAATCAGTTGTTAATCAGAGACAAGTTTTATCTTATCGCGTATAGTCAATCCATTTTATTGCTGCAAGCAATAGGTATATATATATAGATAAACGAAAATTAGCAACAAAACAATACGTGAATGTTCACGTAAGAGTGAAAATATTGAAGAAAGTTGAGTTATCTTACGTAAGAATGGACTTTTCAAGAAATCTATTGCGGAAATTGTATATAACTTATTGTCATGCACTTTTTTTGGAACGCAGTGAGAGTATGATAATACGAGGATTTTTCCAGTAATCGTTTGGATTTGACTTTGACCAATTTCTGTGACACTAAAAGTCCTTGTCTAGTCGATAGAAAGAGACATTGGTGTGATCAAATGCTTCGATGAGCAAATTTCTGCTAATTTTTCTCATACTAAAGATCAAAAGCCTATTGGTTTGCTTTTTCTGTACGATAAAAAAATGTCGACATCCAGCTTCGATATGCTAGTATGCACCCATATCGGTGTACATTTTTTTATTATGACGATTCGAAATACATAGGAAGAGAAAAGATGTATAGAGAAAGAACATGATGAAAACAAACGAACACGTGCAATAATGAGCGTATCCTGACGACATCAACTGCACACGTTATGAAAATATCATGCTTCATTGCTGCACACAATTAGACACAAGTTGGAAAAAGCCAAACAATTTTATCATCCATAAATACGTAGCAAAACTAGTTGAAAATACACATAAAATATAATTCGTACGTTTCAGTATCATTCGAGGTAGGTGAATATACTTTATTTTCAACTTATTTAAGGGATGTTCTGTGAGATAATCAAGCAATTTTTAACAGTGTCATACTTTTTAAAAAATTGATCTTCTCCCCTATTTTATTATTGCACTGTAAATTTTAAATGAATTCTTTTTTTTTTTGAAAACCAAGTTAGAAACAGATCAAACATTTTCAAATTATTTTTAATCGTCTAACGATTTTATTATTTCCAGATATTGTTTAACACTTTCTGAAGATAGAATTTTCATTCAATTTTCTGAAAAAAAGTTTGTGAACGAATTGGAAGATCGAGAACAATTTTTAATGATGTTTGAAAATAAATTCCAATTTTATAGAAAATCAATTTGAATTCTAGAAAAAAAATGTGAAAAAATCAATATTATTTTCTGCAATATTATTCGAATAATGACGCGTATAGAATTCTTCTTTCATTGTTTATATGTAAATGAATATCTTCGTAAAACAATTATGTTTTCTTTTTGATGTTGTTAAATTATAATATCTAAATGAATGCACAATTTTTTCTTGATTATAAATATGCTTTTGGTCTATAAGTAGAGTTATGGTTATAAGTAAAATCAGTATAGAAGTAAAAGAATCAAATTTATTGTAAAGATGAAAAGTGATAATAGATATTCTTTTTTCTGGAAAATGTTCAGAATGTGAAATCGAGTTTGATATTCTAGATATGTCCGTATGAATACAAGTGGTGATTTTATAAATAGAAAATCAAAATTCATTGTCGAATTCGTATGGGCATTTTTCTATTTTACAGTTTGGAAACATAAGCCCATGTTCAGAAACTTATACATTCCAATTTTTAGCTCATTAACTTGCACCTATTGCAAGCTCTCCCGAATAGGCCCAAAGATAAGTTTTTTTTTATCGGCGAAACATTGTGTTTTTGCTTTTTTTGTAATAGCTTTAAAAACGTTTGATGACATTTCCTTGAACCGATCTCAATGTAACACATAGGAAAATATCTTAAAAAATAGAGCGAAACTCGCTCTAAGAAACTATATTCGGCTTTTTCACAGACCTCCATCCTAAAGCACAAGAACTAAAGCAGTAACCATAACATGATCTATATTTAAAACAATACACTCTTGAATTTTTGTCTATACGCTATTTTTTATTTTGAAATTATAATTATCAAAAAATTGTCTCAACGAACCTAAATGGAGCAAACGAATGGCTACCCAGCGAGTATAGCATTGTTGATATTGTATCACGAACATATACTTTTTTTGCCCTCAGAACATGAAGATATAATTGCGAAAAACGATTTTGCTTCCATTTTCTTATCAGTTTCTCGTATTTCTTTAGTTTGTTATCTATTCTCACTCAAAGTAAAAAAATAATACAAGACTTGTATTCAGCATCGAAAGTTGTGTCAGACACATCCGTTCGATACTTTTTCTAACCAGTAGCATAAGAGCTAAACGGCCACCATACTTCAACTCATGAGTCTAGGAGATGTATCACAGAGTTTGTGTACTTGAAGTGTGTTTTGTTCGTCTTGCGGCATTTGAATACACATTTTACTGAGCTTTTCAAGTGCTGTCTATTCGTTCGTTTGAGTTTCATTTTTATGAATCTTTTGCAGAGCAAAGAGCTAGTTTTTGTGCGAGATTTTGTCAGCTGAGTCAGTGTATGCATCGTCGCACAATCCTATTTAGGCAAGTAGCTATTTGATGAGCATTGAAGTCTTATCAATCGTTCAGTTTTATTCTATATTTTCTTGGTACTTCTAGGAGACTCGAATAACTCACAAGACTGACAGTTCTATTAGTGACCTAATAAGACGGAGCTAGAGGGCTCAGCTACCAGTGTCCCAGCTTCCTCTAGAAGACTTTTGCCTCCTGAACAGGCATGTCGTACACTAAATGGAGCAAGAATTTGTAAGTGATCTGGTGGGTACGTTAAATTCTGTTATCATTAACTATTGCCTTAGGCGTTTGAGCACTACTACCTGATTTTACAACTACGTCGTCATCGTCTTGGTAAGTTGAGAAAGTTCAACAGGGTGTACACCCATCATCTGCTAGTGGCGTACTAGATGTATGAGTCATAAAGAGAGATTCTGTCTAGTGGTTATATTTGGTGAATGAGAATTTTTAGACAAAGAAGCGTGTGTTTGACGATCACTGCCGCATATAGGTTTGCTGGAATCTTTTATAGGATTTGAATCATCATAGCAGTAGATCACGGATAAGGAAAAGCAAAATTTAGATTGAAGGTTCATTGCTTACTGTCCTTCACAAGAGAATTTGTTACTCAATGGCGGATGAGTGCAAATCTTTCTATCCCGCTCTGCATACATCTAAGAAGTGAAATATTTTAGATCATGTTGATATTCTATTATGGTTTATCACAAAAGATCTCTAATCATGTGAATGATAGACGCAGTGTAGTTGCGCTTGAGATGATCCACTTGTCAGGAAAATGACAGCTATGGTGCATCCTATTTTTACTGGGTAGTCTGATCTGTCATCGTGACCTGACGCACGCGAGAATATGAATAGATGATAGAAAAATGAATCAGAAATTTTCGTCCGTCTGAGAGACCTTTAATTTCGAAGATTAAACAGAATACGCTTGCAACCTATCCATTGAGTTCATTCTTCTAAAGAAAATGATGATTGACTGTTGAAAGTGACTTTGATCTTATTCCTAGAAAAACTTGATTGTTTCAAGAAGGACCAGGTTATGGTTGTGGGTGAGGCAGGAAGACACTAAAAAGCTACATCCGTCATTCACATCCTATTACATATTTTTATTGTCATACATCATTCATAGCACAAATTTGACACTACCGATATCGTTCAAAAGATCGCACAGAAAATGAACAAAGAATTCTATATGTATTGATCACACGATCAATCAATCTTCATGCAACAAAAGTTTTGATTTTATTGACGACACCATCGTGATTACATGAAAAATGTCTAACAACCAACAACAACACGCAGAAGCTTTTATTATGGTTTGTCTTGATATTACATTCAATACGAACAACAATCAGGAAAAAGTAATTGAACAACTACGCCAAATTGATGCTAAAAGTCAAATGTTTTCTGTTCCTGATCAATGTATCGATTACATTTTCAGTTTGGAAAATGAACTTGTATTATTTCTTTTCGTTACTGACACGATTGATCATCCAGTTCTTACTATTATTTCGAATCTTTCGATTGTTTCATCAATCTATATTCTATGCATTTCCAACGAGAAAACTGATGAAAATCAACTCCAATCTTTCCAAAAAGTTCAACGTATTTCTACTGAAATTTCTCAGTTGATTGATCAGATCAAATTTGATATTCGTCGAATCGAATACGAATACATGAAATTTGAAATACTTCAAAAATCGAATGCTTCTTCAACATTTTCAATCAGTCCAAACAAACAAGAATATTCGTTCATGTTTACAAAATTGTTAAAAGATATATTCTTAAAATTTGAGGATGACAGTACACCTGAATTAATTGAATATTACCAAAGTCGCTATCATGACAATTCTTCTATGCTTGGTGTCATCGATGAATTTAAGCGTACTTATCAAGCAAATAAAGCTATTAATTGGTACACGAGAGATTCCTTTATCTACAGAACAGTGAATGAAGCACTTCGTACACAGAACGCTGAAGCATTGTACAAGATGCGCACGTTTATTCGCCATCTTCATCAACAACTTGTTTCAATTCAAGCAGAGAGTCAGATATCAATGCTAACTCTCTATCGAGGTTTAAAAATGAAGATTAATGAATTTGAAAAAATAAGAAATAATGAAGGCGGTCTCCTTTCGATTTCTAGTTTTCTATCGACTACTGCAAGTAAAGACTTAGCAGTTGTTTATGCAGGTCACACCGACAGCAGAGAAATTGCTGTAGTTTTCGAATTAAAAATTGATTCAAATGAGATAACTAATAGCACATTTGCCTGTATCGAACAATTCAGTCATTTTGGTCAAAGTGAAAACGAATGGCTATTTTCAGTGGGTTCTGTTTTTCGTATCAGGGAAATTCAACAAATCGAAAGCATTATGTTGATTAGTTTAGTTTTAACCGATGATCAAGATGAAAATCTCCAAAAATTAACTGAGCACATGCATAAAATTATTCAAATAGAGTATCGCAATCCACTGGTAGCTTTGTGTCGATTATTTGCACGAATGGGTAAATATGAGACAGCTTCGGAACTATGTAAAAAGAATGGTGAATTGGAAAATGGATGGGAAATGTTAGCAACATTATTCGATACTTATGGTTTAATGCATGCTAACCAAAGAAATGATAAAAACGCATTGCATTATCATCGAAAAGCATTAAATACAATGACTCAACATGTAGCCACAAATGATCCTATACTCGCTTCGTACTATAAAACCGTGGCAATCAGCTATTCAGCAGTGAATCAGGACAAACTAGCATTAGACCATTATCAAATAGCAATTGATCTTGAATTACAGGCTTTACAACCAGATTATACAAGCATTGCTTATTCATATGATGCAATGGGGAATATTTTGCACTATACTTTTCAACAATACAATCGAGCACTTCAATACTACAAACATGCGCTGAAGCTAATGCTTGAAAATCTACCCCCTAATCATGATGATATCATTTCGCTGTACCAGGAAATGGCTGATATTTATGACGAACAAGGTAAATATGATGAAGCTTTGGATGCTTTTCATGAATCCCTTCTTAGAAGAAAAGCATCTCAGAAGTGTAAATCTCTTGATTTGAATAATACATTGAAAAAAATAGCTACAATTTATAAAAATAAAGGCAATATGGAACGCACTTCGGTTATACTTAGCATCTGTGGTGATATAGAATCTTCATGTCCCCGATCGCTTGAATCAAGGATGGATAATCTTGATCTAGATGCACTAATCGCTAAAATTTTTCAAAGTGACTAGACTTGGGAAATTCTTTTTCTAGTTTTATGCTATACCGAGAAGCTTGTTTTTGTTGCAATGGCACTGTTTTATGCTTCTTTATTTCTTTTATCGATTTGATATATGCTTGTTTGAAGGATCGCCTGGTTCTTCGTTTTATTTTTCATCCGCTGCTTACATGTATTTATTAACAAGTATGAAACAAATTCATCAGTCTGTGTATTTTCTTTCTTGTTATAAATATATACATATATAAGAAACAAACTGCTGTGTGATTTTCGCTGCATATTGAAGACGGTATATATCAAATCGATTGTAGCAAAACAGTTGGTAAGCATATTTGCAAGTATCTAACCATGTGATCATCATGAGCATGACATTGTTTGAATGAGAATATGTTCAATATTTTCTCGTTCGACTTAATTACTACGACAGAGCTGAACAGCATGAATTGTGATGTTGTTCAAGAGTAGTGCATACGAATATCTTGAACATATTACTGGAAAGTAAAAGTTGAGCATTTTTTTAGAGTCAATATCTTCCCTAGATGAGTTATTAGGGCTAATGCTTAGATGTTGAATTGATTTCACGATTAATAGAACTATTGTTCTTCGCTGAATTCAACGAAAATGAAGCATTTTTTTGAATATCCAAATCTAGTTAATGATACACAACATTTATCACCATGTCTTGTAGCTTCTATTTCCTGTATTTTCATTCTTCAATTCGAGTCTGCTAATCTAAATCTCCTGTGGCAAGTGAATGTTAAAGTCATTATTTTATCTGAGAACTAAGATCTAAAGCGAATAGATATAGACAACAGGAATGATTTATCGATTATATCACTTTTATCAATTGTTTTTTCCAAAAACACTAGATTGATGAGAGTTAACAAGGAACACAAGCATAGAATGAAATGAATCTTTTTACAGCGCTTGTTTTTCGACTAATAANCGTGTGCGATGCAATTCCGGAATTCCGTAACGGAATTCGGTCGTGTTTCGAAGGATATAACCTTGCAACACAAGGCAACAAGTGAGGGTGAGGGGAGATGGTGTGATTCCGTCAGGGAATTCCGGAATCGATAGGAATTAGGTTCTAGGAATTCCGGAATTGGTGGGAATTAGGTTGTTAGGATTCCGGAATTATATGAAAGGGTCATTATAGGAATTCCGGAATTGAGGGAACTGATTCCGGGGGCGAAACTGGTTCCCGCAATGTGCAACATTGCGGAATAGGATGTATTCTCGTATGTTAGTTTTATTCACGCATGATAGAACATTTCCGACTATCGAGACATTATTCCTCACTTTTGTGATCTTGAACCTTCCCCATACGAGGGTGACCGATGCGTGGCCATGCCGTTATGGAAAGATCAAGGGAGTTCAATCAACCACTACCTATGTGTTTCATTGACCTTCAAAAGGCCTATAATTCAGTTAACCGTGAAGCTCTTTGGAGAATATGTCATGCATACGGACTATCTAATGAGATGGTTAGAATGATCAAACTTTTATATGAAGACACAAAAGCTGAAGTACGAATCGATGGTGACTTTAGCACGAGCATCCAAATGAAAACTGGCATCAAGCAAGGGTACCTTCTCTCTCCAATCTTGTTCAATATATACATTGATTATGTAATGACACAAGTACTGGAACAAGCTGGAGTTGAAGATGTCACTTTAACTTATCTCTTAGACGATTTGTGGTGCTCAGGAAGCGGAAATAGCGATGATGTACAATTGCTTGCTCCTATGTACGCAGACGATATAGCTGTTATGTGTCAAAATACACAAGACTTTGGCCTCACCATGAACATAAAAAAGACGTGCATTATGTCCTTGAGACAATTTAAAAGAACAGAAAATAGAACTAAAAACAAAACGGAGATTGCTAGTGCACCATTCGACATTAATATACACAATCAAAAAATAGAAGAAGTAAAAGACTTTACCTATCCTGGATCCTATGTATCAAAAGGTCAAACACAATGTAATGAGATCGAAATTCGGGTAAGCAAAGCATCTAACACGTATTTAACGGATTCCAACGTATTGTTCGGTATCGAAAGTGCATGCCAATTCAAGCAAAAGTACGAATTTTCAGAGCATTCGTACTACCCGTACTCTTATACGGTAGCGAACTATGATGTCTAACAACTGCTGAAGAACAACGTTTGAAAACATTCTATATGAAATGTTTGAGGACATTAATCGATGTTTCTCTCAGTGATTGAATGAGGAATGATCTTGTGCCTCAGTTAACTGGTCAACGATCTTTGGAAAATATTTTGAGAAGGAATAGGTTGCGATGGTTTGGTCATGTTAATCGAATGGATAACGATGAAGGTTACCCACTGCTATCAAAGAAGACCTTGCTCGCCTCATTCAAAGATGCAAAGAGACCTCCACATAGTATCAAATTAAGACGACGAGATAAAATCGCAAAAGACATCACCATGTTGGATATCAAAAATTGGAGACGAGATACTCAATATAAGAATAAATGGCAGAAAACAATTAATCGAGATGTCAGACATACTACGGTTCATACAGATGTGGCACGTATTGTACAAGAACATAAAGAAAGAGCAACTAACCGTCGAGCAGAAGAAGAACTACTACGAGCAGTAAAACAAAATACAACTATACATCTTACTAATCTGCTAGCTTCTACAACTGATGATGGCCACATGCACTCAGTACGGATGGATATGTAAAAACAAACGAGGTTTAAAAGTACATAAACGAACTTGTGTAAATAACAAGATCATAGATAAATATACTGCTGGTGTGGAGAAAATAATAGATTTATTGATAAAAAACAATAAAAACGAATATATTTGTCCAAGTCAAGATTGTGAAAGATTCTTGAAACCTCAAGGAGTCATATCACATGTGAAAACATGGTTGCAAAAAACAAGGCGTTACAGTTTAGTGACTAAGATCTACAGGTGGTTAACTGTGAAGTATGATGACGGTTACTGAAACCAGATCCGCTTGTGGTCTGGAAGTAACAGTCTGATGGATATAGCAGTGACATATTTCCAAATGATAACCATCCGACAAACAAGACCCAATCGCCAATATTTCGTTTTCATGTTTTCTGTGTATGTCCTTGTGCAGTTTTATAAATGTGTGTGTGTGTTTTGTGTTGTTCTATCTATTATGCATTGTTCTTGTTTTCTTTTATTTTTTAATTGTTATGTTTTTTTCCTTTTTTTATTTTCTTTTTTATCACTTTATTTGTTCTTCGTCTAAACTGGGTCACCGGTATTGGCATTTCTTCTTCTTCTTAATATATAGTTCTTCTTGTTTGTAACCATATATAAAACGATCGATTCTTATTATAACATTTGATTCTCATAAACTACATACAGAAATATAGACAAAAACGTCATTTCATTTATAGGAACTTCGCTCGTTTAGAGAAAAACTACAATAATACAAATATTTTAATAACGATGGAGTCATCGAGGCTCTGAGACTTGAGCTTCACTTGGTTTTCATCGAGTGAGACTCAGCCTCACCTAATTTAAACTTGACATTTCGCACGAATGCATAGTTTTCAAGACTTTTATGCACTTATGTTAGAACATTCTAAGTAGGAGGATAACTCCGTCAACAGTATATTATTATTTCATTTCCTAGCAGGTTCCATTCTGGAAACCCGGATGCAAACGACTGTTTTCAAACAAAATGCTGTCCAAAAATATTTTTTTTTAAATTGTTGAGTCGTTAATATTTAACAGCTGTATGAAATCAATCTAGTCCAGCAATTTCTAAACCTTTTCTATAGAGCTTTTCAATATAGTTATTGTCAGCGAGGTCATCTTCGGTAGCAGAAGTATGGAGCAACATTTGAGTTGAATATAAATATACGTGTCTTCCTGAAAAAAAATTCCACGAGAAAGTAGAATATTTTAAAGGAGTGTGCGAAATGTTCTGGCTTTGTAAAAGTTTGGTAACTATACGAGGATTTGTCAATCCAGAAAACTTCTAGACTGAGGTTTTTTGGAAAGTTTTATTATTTTGTATTCAAAGAAGTTCTTTATTTAGGATAAACGTCATCATAGTGATCGTTAGTTATGGCAAGATTATTCAGTCATTTCTTTATTGATGTTTTCTTTCGATGAACCGGCAAGTAAAAGTAGAGTTTTTAGGAGTCTGAAAAAACAATTTATTTTGTGATAAAATTCTGTCGATTTTTCTACGATTTTGCGGAGTTTCTTCAAACTCTGGTTTCTCACATTAAAATTGGTTGGATGCAAGAAGACGTTTTGTGCATTTTAGACGTCAAAAAATTTGTCTGATCTTTGATGCAAACATTTCTGACTCTCTAATTTTAGTAAACTCGAGACAACCCTGTGTTTGTAACACTTCATGATCTACGAACGAAGGAAGAAAGCTATTTTTGTGTTTTGTAATTACATATGCTTGTATTCACTTATTCTATTGATTTACTGGAGTTAAAAAAGAGACTTCCTTGACGCTCTCGCTCAAAGTTTGACCAATGTACTTCAATACGAGAGAAGCAGAAAAAGCTATGAGTCTCGCCTAGATTCAAGACGCTTCCCGCTGCCTATGAAGTATTTAATAGTTCAACATTCAAAGGTGTTTTTCGTCTACAATGTATCGTATTTATTTTGATTTTCTCTAATAAAATGAAAATTAACGTCTTCAATATCGATTGCCTACTCAGCTTAGTAAAATTGGGTCATAAGACGAATGAATGTTGCAAAAAACATTTAGTATTGAAAATCTAATGAAAATCTAAATAGTCCGATAAAATTTCAAACTCTTTTCCTTCAAATAGATTAATTGAAATCATTTTTCTAAGACAAATAATTTTTGAGAGTGACTGACATAAAAAACATTAATGACATAATTAATTATCTTTCTTCGAGGCATGAAAATAAAGAGGCAAATAATCTAGATTTTTATTTGATCATCTCGATGGTTTGTCAACAATTTAGACTGATATCGATGGAAACTTAACTCAATCGTTTGTGAACAGCAT